GGTGATTTTAACTGTGTTTTGAATCCCTTTCTGGACCGCACATCCACCAAACCTACCCAACCCTCTAAATCTGCAATTACACTTCAGTCACTTCTAAACATTTGTGGTCAAGCTGATGTATGTCATTTTTTCAACCCCTCAGCATGGCAATATTCATTTTTCTCCCATGTCCACCACAATTACTCCTGTATTGATTACTTTTCTTAGACAAGAAATTGTTGTCTAAAGTGAGGGCTTGTTCATTTAACAGTATTGTTATAGCAGATCACACTCCACTTACACTTTCTATTTTGTTTTAAGATAAGATGCTTGACTCAGGAGGTTGGAGATTTAATTCTTTGCTTTCTGATAAAGCATTTTGTGATCTATTAAAAACCCATTTAGATTTCTTTTTCGAGATAAATACTATTCCTGAGACTTCACCCTTCACCTTCATTTCCTGGATTAAACTTTTATATTCCATTCTGCTCAGTTCGAACCAATGGGATAACCTCCTCTAATTTTCCCTTGAAACGTGGCACAAGACATGGCTGCCCACTTTCACCTTTGCTTTTAGCATTGGTAATTGAACCCTTGGCAATTGCCATTTGTACTGAACAGTCCATATGGGGAATTGCGAGAGCTGGTGCAGTTCACTGTACGTCAATGATGTGTTGCTCTATATCTCTGATCCGGCTGTTTCTTTACCCGAAGTCTTGAGAATTATAAATACTTTTAGCCTATATTCTGTTTATAAATTAAATATAAGTAAAAGTGAAATATACCCAAATAAATTTTCCAACTTCTAATTTACCAACGAGTAAGCAAGTTTCAATGTTTAAAGCTGCTTTTCATAGTTTTAAATGCTTAGGAATAACAATTACTCGTAAGTGCTTAGATCTCTTTAAAGCTAATTTCACCACACTCCTCCAGCAAGTCCATAATGATTTTGCTCACTGATCAGCTCTCCCCATTTCTCTGGCTGGATGTGTGAATCCAGTAAAGATGAACGTTTTGCCTAGATTTCTGTATTTATTTCAGGGTGTTTCAACTTTTATACCCAAATCTTACTTTATGACTTTAAATCAACACATCTCATCTTTTATTTGGAACAAAAAACAGCCAGAATTCGCAGGGAAATACTTCAGAATCCGAAGGTTGAAGGTGGGCTTGCCCTTCCTAATTTACTATTTTACTAATGGGTGACAAATATACACTTTACACTATTCTGGTTTCAGAGTCGTTTCAGGCTCTGTGATTGGGTCCCAGCTTGGGTCAGTATTTAAGAGGGTTCTTGATCCCCAGCCTCACCAGCTGCACTTCTGTGTGGTCCTCTTACTGCCGTCTCACGTTTTCCTTACGGCAATTCCATTGTCCAGCAATCATTACGAATGGTTTCACCTATTAATCGTAATCCGGTTTGGCAGAGAGCAGGTATCTCAGTTTTAAACGATATCTACATTGATAATATTTTTCCCAGCTTATCTCAGTTAACACAATTCACCCTTTCTAGTGTTCATGTTTTAGATACTTGCAGTTCCGAAATTGTTAAAAACGAATTTCCCAACTTTCAGAATCTTCCACCAAAATCCCATCTAGATCAAATTCTTGAAGTACCCTTAGATAAAAAGGGTGTATTGTCTATTCTATACAGGATGATCTCCTCTATTTCTACCTCCTCTCTCACTTTTATTAAGCAACAGTGGGAGTCGGACCTCTGCCTCACATTTGAAGATGAGGTCTGGAGCCAGATCTTGTCCCGTGTCCATACCTCTTCTATTTGTGCACGACATGGTCTTATTTAATTAAAATGTATTCACCAAATTTATTGGACAAAAGTGAGGCTGGCAAAAATTTGGCATGATGTTGATCCTATATGTGATCGTTGTCATCAGGCCCCTACAGACTTAATACATATTATGTTCTGGTTATGTCCATCCATAACTTCTTTTTGGCTATCAATTTTTAAATGTTTTTACTCTGTGACAAAGAAACAGATCGATCCTTGTCCTTTGGTTGCACTTTTTGGACTTCCTCCAAATGTCACAGGTTTGCTCGGATGTTCTGCAAACGCGTTTGCCTTTTCAATATTATTAGCTAGACGGCGTATTTTTTTGCTATGGAAACAAAATCTTCCTCCATCTTTTGATGACTGGCTGCGAGATGTAATGAGCTTCATTCATTTGGAAAAAAAAATTAGGTACACAATAAAGGGAAATACTGGCATATTTTCTGAAACTTGGGACCTTTGAATTATTTAATTTATTTATTTTGGATTATGAGAATTCTTCTGTAGTTAGTCAATCTAATCATTAGGATGTCCTTATGATTGTGGCTTGATTTTGATCAAAAGTGTATTGAGTACACATATGTGCACTGTATGTACATCATTTATATTTGTAATGATTTGTTTGCTGATGTAAATGTTTACAATATACTGTACATGGACGATTACTTTTATTTTTGTTTCTAAACTCTGATTCAAAGTTTATTCTATACATAGTTGACATACACTCTATAATTATGTATTGAGGACCTTTTTGTTTTGTTGGTAGCACTTATAATAACTTTCATTAATAAATCATTAACAAACATTATATAATGCTTAACAGATCAGTAGTTAATAAATATTCTGTGCTTGTTAATGTTTATTAATGTACTTATTAAACATTAACTAATGATTAACAGATCATTATTTCATGTACATAATCATGCTTACAAATGTCATTCGACTTTCAATTCATGTGATCATGCACTTCTCGAAAATCTTCAAATGATTTTAACAGATGTTATACAGTGTAGCGATTTTGTTAATACACAAATATTTTGCTGCTACTGAGGTATGATACGGGTAAGGTTAGGGATGGGTTTGGTGGTATGGGTAGGTTTAAGGGTTGGTTAAGGTTTGGTTAAAGTGTCCAACCAAGTGAAAACACGGTTCAATCTGTTTATATTACATTGTTTCGATAAATGAACAAGTATTTCCTTAAAAAGATTTGTTTTCTCCTGTTGATGTATGATTAAAGGAATATCCTGTTTAATGATATACAGTTGCATAATATAAGTGTTGAGGCAATAAAAACATGTTTTGCACCCAAATTACAATGTGTGTGATGTCTTTAGCAAGCATTTAGCTTAAATTTAGCTTAAACGTAACTAACCACTCTTTACACAAACGTTGTTACAGCAGCTAAACGTCCAATGCCCATAAAGATACTAATGGATTAGTAAACATTCATAAACATTTACAAACTTTAGATTGGGTACTGCAAAAACATGAACAAATGATTAATAAATGACTAGTAAAGATGTTTGAGTAGGATAAATTCAGGTCTTTTGGGACACATTTTGCCATCGAGATGACTGCTCATAAATGTATTAACAATTAGTAAACATTTATAACCATTTGCAAATGATGAATAGTTTATACTTCAGATTAGGTACTGCAAAGACATGAACAAATAATTAACGAATTATTAAGATGTTAAGATGTGTAAATAGTAGAAGTCTACACTAAACAAATGAAGACCAAATATGTGACCTTTACACACTGTGATTATTTATTTATTCATTAATTTTTCCCACAGCATTTGTAAATGTAAAAAAGAGCATTAGGTCTTATATGAAAAGTACATTAAAAAGTAAGCTGGTAATTGTATAATTTCTTGTATTTATTGTTTTAAATTTATTTACATTTATTTAATAAAATGTATTTTATTTATTTGTAGATTTTTAAAAAGTACATGATCATATGAATTGAAAGTTTAATGACATTTGTAAGCATTTCAAATTACATTAAATAATGATCTGTTAATCATTCGTTAATGTTTAATAAGTACATTAGTAAATGTAAACAAGCATGTTATCTCACATTTCTAGCTAGGTGTCACGAATCCAGTCCGTGGCCTTCCGGCCGATTGCCACTAGAGGTCACTCTACCATTACATTGACTCTCACACTACACAGACTGTTACATGTCACCCCGGACTACAGTTCCCATCATCCATTGCACTTACACAGCTGAATTCACTGATCACACAGCCGTCACTAATCACACGCTCACCTGAGAGCCATTACACACTCTATTTAACACTCTCTCAGTTCCTATTCAGATCGCCGTGTATTGTTCTGCGTTTACACTAGGCCTATATGAATTTATTTTAACTAATGATCTCTTAAGCATTATGTAATGTTCGTTAATGATTTATTAATGAAAGTAATTATAACGTGTTACCGTTTTGTTTGTATAATTCGGGGTTGGAGATAGTGTGGGAAAAAATATTTGTTTCTATTCTCCTGTATCTTTATCCTTTTACTATTATAAAAGTAAAAAAAAATAAATTATCATGTTACTGTTTCCATGGCGACATGTCATGCTTGTCACGTGACACACTGCAGCCACAATAGTGCTGTATGACATGTAGAGCACTGTTTTTATTGGTTTTATGTAAATTTTCCTTTTTCATTAAAAAAATTCCTTATTTGTTAACTACATCATGAAATATCTGATATTCTGTTTTTCAAATACAAGTTATTTTGCTGTTTAAACACCTTTATAATGATCATGTTTGACCCAAAATGCACAATGGGCAGTGCCATGTTAGTTTGCGGTGCAATCCAGGGAATCGGAGCTGTCCGATTTACAACACGTAAATTCATTCACGTCTCCCAAAAGACATGAAAGTAAATGGCTGGTAAACTGGGGCAAATAGAATAAACTTTATAGTTACCTACCCAATCTGTCAGGGTTGGGGATGAAGGACGGAGCGAGGACTCAATAGTGCGGGAAGATAAGGGCTTTATTAATAAAATAAAACCGTCTCTGGCTCAGCGCCAGTCAAAGCACAAAGCAAATCTGAATTTTGCAGCTGATCATGTGACACACTGAACATTCTATTCAAATTGGTATGATCGGACGCTCCAGGGACCAGCCTAGAGTGATCACGCCTGTGTGATTGTATGCATCAAAGGGTTAGCATCAAGTATTAAGAACCATCCTTTATGCTTCTGTTTTGGTGCAGCTTTTTTTTCCAGCCATTTGTAAGTGCTTTCCAAGGACAGATCTCAGAGATGATACATGTGAGGGTATGTCATTTTTTTATTTCTAAAACAGATGAACCAAATCAACACCTCTACCTGCTGCTTGTAATATTTCTCATTGTGTCTCATGCTGTCTCGTTTCTTTCTTTTCTTTAGATTTGTCCAGCAATTCAACAAGCAATCAGTGAATTGGAGAAGAATCTACAGAAAATACCTGGTACTGGTTCAAAAACATTTCCAGATCACCAAATTATATATTCTGCACAAAAGAAAACAGTTCTTAGGACTATATATATATATATGTATATATATATATATACACACACACACACACACGCACATATATATATATATACAGGTATATATATATAAAACATTTTTCATGAACTTCAGGGGAAATGTGCTTAATTGTTATAAAACAAAAACATGAAAAAAATTATTACATGTATTTTAAGAGCGCTGCATTTATAATCTCTAAAAGACATCCCAGTTCATCGCAATCTGCAATATATGCATAATGAATCTTTCATGTCTACAATTTGTGTGTTATAATGAGAGGATTCATGAGCACGCAAGTTTCAGCACTGCATTGCTCAACGCTGCAAACGTGTTATAGCCTAAATAGAACCTCTGCATATGCTTGCACCTGTTAATCGTTTATACTTATATTAGTTCATGTTGCTTTTGTGCAATAGATGAATAACAATTTATTTGTTTTAGATATTTTATGTTTAGATATTTCTATTTTGCGGGAGCCCCGTGAATCATTTTATTCTCCCGCATCCCGCACACACACGAGTGTCTACCCGCACGCACCCGCACTCGCCCATCTTCTCCCGCGCCGCACTCTGTTGCATCGGGTCTCGCGGGAGAGCAGGACAGGTCTCTAATCCACTGCCACTTGACTCGACAGTGCGTGTGCTACATCCTTTTTACAATCTCTAGATTATACAACACTGCATTCTGTCAGCAATGTAACGCGGCAGTAACGTATAGAGACTTCAGTTTGTAACTATACTCTAATTACTATTTTGAAAATGATAACACATTAAATTACTCCGTTACTAAAAAAGTAATAAAATTACAGTAACGTGTTACTAAGTAATGCGTTACTGCCCAACACTGTACATAAATAGGTCACACTTTATTTTAAGGTCGAATTGTCACTATTAACAAACCATTAACTATGACTTTTGCCTCAATAAACTCCTAATTTGCTGCTTATTAATAGTTAGTAAGGTAGTTGTTACATTTAGGTCTTGGGTAGGATTTGGGGTGTAGAATATGGTCATGCAGAATATGTGCTTTATAAGTACTAATAAATAGCCAATGTGTTAATAATAGCCATGAATAATAAGCAACTAGTTAATAGTGAGAATTGGTGCCTATACTAAAGTGTTACCAATAAATAAATACTTCTATCAAACGAAACATAAAACAAGATGGCATCTGTGTTGGAAGCGATGTGTACCTTAAAGGGATACTCCAGCCCAAAATGAAAATTTTGTCATCTTCTGATCAATCTTCTGATCAATCTTCAAATCACTTATCTCCATGTCGTTCCAAACCCGTAAAAGCTTTGTTCGTCTTCGGAACACAATATAAGATATTTTGGATGAAAACCGGGAGGCTTGTGACTGTCCCATTGACTGCTAAGTAAATTACACTGTCAAGGTCCAGAAAAGTATGAAAGACATCATCAGAATAGTCCATCTGTGGACTATTCTGACGATGCTTTTCATACTTTTCTGGACCTTGACAGTGTAATTTACTTGGCAGTCTATGGGATGGTCACAAGCCTCCCGGTTTTCATCCAAAATATCTTAAATTGTGTTCCGAAGACGAACGAAGCTTTTACGAGTTTGGAACGACATGGGGGTAAGTGATCAATGACAAAATTTTCATTTTGGGCTGGAGTATCCCTTTAAACTCTTGATGGACCTACAAGGGATCACACCGCCTTATATGAAACTGAACAAAATAGAAATTAAGAGTATTCATTTAAAATACATTGAGATATTTACTAATCAAGTCACTCATTCAGCCATCTTTTTTTATGTGTCAATCATAGATACCAAAGAGTTTCCCGATCCATCTGAACACCAGCCAGTTCGGTGCTTTCATTCCACAGGTCAGTATACTGTGTGTACAGGTTGTGATTTTGGAAGTAAAAATCGAACATGTTAACCTGCACAAGGACGCCAACGTCCTGAAGCATCCTTTGTTTGTTTTGAATATATTAGTTACTGTTATAAACTGCTATAATGTTATAAAGTAAAACCATGTAATTAACTTGACAAACAATACATGATTAAAAAGGTCTACATCTCAAGCTTTAATCTGTTTTACTATATAATATACTATTTAAATAACTTTTATTAACACTCATTTCTTTGTATCAAAAGTATATTAATTAATATATAATTATTATACAAATATTTCATAACTAACTACACATGATACAACTACATGGTTGCATATGCTGATGAAACACCAATTAGGACTTATGTGTCTGTCTCTGTCTGTTACATGTTCTATAGTTTCTACAAGTTGTTATCCAGATGAATAATGTGATTTCTTTGCAAATTGTTTGTTCAGCTGCGCACATTATATCCCAACATGGAGATGCAGGTGCTCTTGTACGCCAGTAAGACGCCACTATTCTCCTTCAGTTCAGGGGTGATAGACGTTCACGTACCTGTTGCTGCAAAGTTCTCAGTTGTTAAACCTGATGGCATGCTGGTGCCTCTTTTCAGACTGGATGTGGTGAGTTTTGTCTTTGGATACATAAAATTATGTAAAACAAAAACAAACAAAAAGGTAAGAGGAACTCTCATACTCTCACAGTAAGTAGTAACAGTTAGAACTGCAGCTGCTCATATTTGTACAAAATGGTACAAATGCTAGTTGGCAACACCTGCAGCACGCTGTAAAGTAGAAGCTGCAAACAGTGTTATAATACCATGTATTCACTGAATCGTTCAATATGTGATTTATGTAAAGGTATCAGCAATTCAGCTTAAAATTGAATAACTTATGTGTTCCTCTCACACTCCCCCTGCAGGACGGCAGCTTCAGTGGAAGTGCTTTGATTGACAATAAACACCTTACTGGAGATTTTAAAATGAAAAAGTGAGTTATATTGATATTTGTTAAATTAAAGTTGCAGTCAAATGGGATCTATTCAGGGGCGGGTCTGCATGGTGGCCAGGTGTGGCACCGGCCCCCACAGAAATCTGATTGGCCACCCCAGGTGATGTCAAATACATGGTGTGCCTTTGTTACAATCTACCCCACTACTGGGATTGGTTGTAAACACATGCAAGGGTAAGTTATAACAATTAGACAAAAGAAGCAAAAACAGCAGCCACATTATGCAGTTTGCTTCAAAATATGGTTTATTGAAAAAATCCAAAGGGACAACACAAAATGTCTCACTTTCTGTGATTGACCACAGCTCAAATTCGCTTTCTGTTTGACAAAGGAGTTGTGTGTGTGTGTGTGTGTGTTGGACTACTATAGAACAAACTTCCTTAATTGTATTTATGCTTAATGAACACTCAACTTTTGTCTAACTCCAGTGTACCTAGGTAAAGAACATGTAGATCTAACAATAAACTGTGTAAATTTGTGTTAGATTGTGTCTATTTATGAATATTCTCAATCAAATGAACAGTGGTCAATGTTTTTAAACCTGGAGTGCAGGCATGGTGGATCCAGGGACTGCAGAGGGCACATTTTCCCCTCACTTCCTCTGGCTTTGAGCTGCCAAATGGTTCCGAATAGACAACATAAAAGTTTTCGGTCACATTTTATTTTAAGGTCCAATTCTTGCTATTAACAAACCATTAACTACGACTTTTCCCTGAATAAACTGTTACTAGAGAGAAAGTCAGTGGCTGTGGGGTGTGAGACAAGGTTTTTCAAACCTGCAATAAAACTCGTTCAAAATCGTCAGCCAGTTGTTGATTCTCCACAGTGCAGGGGGATGGTGTATTGTAATTGGTGATGTCTATCTGTCCTTTCCATACTGACGCCGGGTCATTTGTAGAAAACTGGTTTCTCAGCTTTTCGGAGTAGTTTCTCTTAGCCACTCTGATCTCCTTTGTCAGTGTGTTTTTGGTCTGTTTATTCAAAGTTCTGTCCCCATTCCTGTAGTAGGCAGCTTTTTTGGCCTGACAGAGCTGTCTGTTTGTCTAACTCCAGTGTACCTAGGTAAAGAACATGTAGATCTAACAATAAACTGTGTAAATTTGTGTTAGATTGTGTCTATTTATGAATATTCTCAATCAAATGAACAGTGGTCAATGTTTTTAAACCTGGAGTGCAGGCATGGTGGATCCAGGGACTGCAGAGGGCACATTTTCCCCTCACTTCCTCTGGCTTTGAGCTGCCAAATGGTTCCGAATAGACAACATAAAAGTTTTCGGTCACATTTTATTTTAAGGTCCAATTCTTGCTATTAACAAACCATTAACTACGACTTTTCCCTGAATAAACTGTTACTAGAGAGAAAGTCAGTGGCTGTGGGGTGTGAGACAAGGTTTTTCAAACCTGCAATAAAACTCGTTCAAAATCGTCAGCCAGTTGTTGATTCTCCACAGTGCAGGGGGATGGTGTATTGTAATTGGTGATGTCTATCTGTCCTTTCCATACTGACGCCGGGTCATTTGTAGAAAACTGGTTTCTCAGCTTTTCGGAGTAGTTTCTCTTAGCCACTCTGATCTCCTTTGTCAGTGTGTGTTTGACCTGTTTATACAAGACTCTCTCCCTATTCCTGTAGGCATTATCTTTGGCCTGAGTTTTGCAGTGAACCATGGTTTGTCGTTGTTGTTAAATTATTAAAAAGTTAAATGAGTCCTGGCAGGAATGCACATATCCTCACAGAAACTGATATATGATGTTACAGTGTCTGTGAGCTCATCCAGATCAGTGGCAGCAGCTTCAAAAACACTCCAATCAATGCCTAAGCAGGCTTGTAAATTCCGCTCTGCTTCATTAGTCCATCTTTTTTTACAGTCGTTATTACAGGTTTAACTGATTTCAGTTCTACCTGTAGGTCGGTTTAAGTTGAACCAAACAGTGATCAGAGAGCCCCAAAGCTGCCAGTGGGATGTTTTAATTCATTCTTTTTTTTATCTAGAGACTCGGAACATTGATGTGGAAAACTGCTTTTTTCACAGCAGTTCTGCCATGACAACTCTTTGAGAAATTGGCATGGCGATGTGATAATGTATTTGGTCAGAACAGATCTGCTTCACTGCTGTTGTTGAATATTGCCGCTGCTGCAGAGCAAGTATAGGGACTTGGGTCACACTTTAGTTTGGGGACCAATTCTCACTATTAACTATTACTTTTACCTCGTTAAACTCTTAATTTGCTGCTTATTAATTGTAAGGTAGTTGTTAAGTTTAGGTATGGGGTAGGATTAGGGGATCTAAAATATGGTCATGAAGAATAAGGCATTAATATGCATGCAAATAAGTGACTAGTTAATAGTGAGAATTGGTCCCTAAATTAAAGTGTTACCAAAGGGTATAAGTGTACATGCTTATTTCACTTTAACATATCCACAAAGCTAAGTCACTGTATCCTGTATCCTAAGTCACTGTAACAAATTCATAATAGACAGCTTGCTGCGGCAGCTATATAAAAACAGTTTAGTAAACACTGCTGCTTATATGTGTAGTAATTCACACCTGCATCGAGTGCAAGATTATTAAACAAAAACTTGTCTATGATTGTTCTTTTAGGAATTAATAAGTCAGATCATACACTATGTACAGTGATATGGAATAAAGAAACATTCACTTATCTTAGATAGTGCTGCAAACTACTACAGCAAACACTGGCCAAGTATTGGAATGTTGAGCAGCAAGCTCATTGACTGCTGATGCAAACGAAACCAATCAGCTGTGCCATGTAGATAACAATGTGACTGCTAGAAGATTGAGTTATCAGCCCACGCTATCAAAGGTTTCATGACAGTACTTTGTATTTAGATCCGTAAGTATTTGGACAGCAATGCAATTTTTAAAATTTTTGCTCTGTACACTACCGAAATGGATTTGAAATGAAGCAATTTAATTTGACATTCTTTACATTCAAACTGGGTTGATGGTTTTAGAATTTTGGGAATTCTGTTTTTTTTTTAATTTTGCGTTATCTTTATAGCCATAGTGAAAGCAACAATAGATATTTTACCTCAGATCTTGAAAATAAATTAAAGCAAACTAGTACGTTAAAGCTGTGAACTCACTGCAAACCAACACGTGTATTCCATAACAAAGATGGCATCAGTCACTCACTCACTCACTCAAAACTGTTCAGTTCATTCACATTTGAATCATCTATTTTCCGTGTCCACTTTTCTTTTCTACACACTTGCCATGTTTTTGCTGTCACATCGTATCTACACTGGACGCGACAAAGCATTGCAAATCATTTGAACGTTGGGTCAGTACGCTATAAATAGAACGAGTCAGCAGTTTACTGTCAGGGATTTGTCGTGTCGCGCCACATCCAAGACAGCATCACTGATTATAACGAGCTCTTGTATTTTATTGCATCGCGTCGCTCGCATCCGGTGTAGACACGATGTAAGTTAATGTAGCTTTGCGTTTGAATTTTCATGCCAAATTATTTGAAATTAGCTCTGGCCAAACTTTTTTTCTCTCACGGGTCGGATGTGGCCTGCGGGCAACCTATTGAGGAACCCTGGCCTAGATTCTGCAAAATACTGCAAAACTGAATGACAGCACAGATGGTACATAGTATGGACTGTCCAATGAGAAACATACTGCAAATAAAACATACTACAAAAGTAAGCAAATAACTTTTCAAGGCAAATAAGAGGGTTTTATTTTTTTCTCTTTTTTTTTAGTGGCTAAGTCAGTCACATGACCTCAAACTCAATAAAATGTACTTGCTGAACACAAAACTTTAGGCAGAAAGACCCACAAACAAGCAGCAACTGAAAACAGATGCAGTAAAGGTCAGGTTAAGCATTACATGGTATGACACCCATGAATTTGGTAATAGCCATGGGTTCCAGATGGGTCACTGTCCAAATATTTATGGTTAGGTTAACTGTATATTAAAAGCAATGTACAGTAATATTATTAATAATATATGATATAACAATAATACATGGATATCTAAACCTGGTGCTTTTCATAGGTAGTTTAAGATTAGATTTAAAAAATATATACTGTAAAAGAGCAAAGTAAAATACCATTGTTGTTTTAGAAATTATTACAATATAACCATTTTTTGGTAAGTTTATAATGTAATACAATTTCACAAAGTAGACTTTTTTTTTTAATGTTATGAGCTCAAAATGTTATTGTTTTGTGATGTTACGTATTACATTATGAACATTTTATGACATTAATAGTAATATCTTATATATTAACAACTTGATGGATTATGTAGCAACTCACAATGTAAGTGTTAGTTTTGTAAAACTCTGCATCTTCTTTTGCCCTGAATGCTGAATCAAGTTTAACAGTGACTGTTGGATCATCTGAGATTGGTGATTTCAAGGTGAGATCTGAGGAAATATAATAATCAATTACCAGACACTGATGATTCATATCATATATTCATTTTTTTAGATCAACATAATAAGACATTTCGTTTTCTTTGTGTTATATTTCAATGTACAGACTGCCGGGCTCGAGCACATATTAGTGATTGCAGTAAACATATTTGTACTTCCAAAACTAAATGGTAAAAATTTCAAATGATATTGCATTTATTACAAACTGTTTCATTATTTAAAGTATTCATACGTGTGTAAATTTCCTTGCAACCAAGTAAAGAAAAGTTTGAAATCTATAGACTTTGCAAACTTGGTTTTAGAAAGTCTGGGAATTTTTGTTATTAGGGCCCGAGCACTGAAGATGTGAGGACCCTCTTGGAATTGTTTTGTTTATTATCATTATTATTCTACTTTGTATTGTAGATTACCTGAAGACTGGCTTTCTCCTACCCACACTGCAGGACTTTAGTTTGATTAATTCTAAATTGCTCATAAAAAATGTAAGTACTATTAAGTTACTATTACTATTATTATTTACTATTATATTAGAACATTGTTTGCTATTGAAAAGTTGTTAGAAAGCAACTCAGGGGTAGAGTCTAAATTTGTTTTCCCTTTGTAACTATCTTTCAGGGCTTTGTGGTCATTTTTACTGATGTTGAAAATTCTTGGACAGTCTCAATGAAAACTAAGGTCCAAACTTCTCCAAATAATCACTTCAATGGAGTCAATTTGCATGCATAAGTAATCTGGCTTGCAAGGAAGGGCGGCGTGATGTCTTTCAGCTAGAGTTTGGAGGAAGATTATTTGTTCTGTGACAAATTTATATATATATATATATATATAATCATAGTCCATTATCTGTCATGTTTATGTTGTGTTCTAATGACTTTTAGTTTAGAGCTTATGTTCTGGGGTTTTTTTGGTATCCTCCCGTGTTTAGTTCCTGGTTCCTTATTGCCTTGGTTTTTGATTGTCAATTGTTCCCATATTTACTGATCATGCACACCTGCTTTCAATCTTTTAGTCTTGGTCTCTCTATACATAGCTTGTGCATGCTGTTTAATAATCATTTGAAACCTAGCAAACTGGCAGCTCCAGTAGTAATGAAAAAATGCCTTATTTAAAGGGTATAGGGTGTTATTTCGGACAGACTCTGATTCTTTCTGTTCATTGTCCGTTCTTGTTTTAGTATAGCCATGTTTCAGTAAGCCAGTCAATCCGTAGTGTTTTTGCTGTTCTTTTGGATGTAATCTTCGTTTTACCTTTTATTTATCTTGTATCTTCTTCAATGCTTATTAAAGCTGCAACTAGATCCACATCTACTCCTTTCCCTGAGAAACTTTACAGTATCCATGTTATTTCTGTATCATACAAGATCTTGAAGGCTTTTGGGTACAACCAAGGCTGGTACACACGTGATGGATACAGATGAACGTACCGGGAGATCTCCACACTAAACGAGCAGGTTATAATGTCCAACATGAGACTGCATATTACACACTCTACCTGAGCAACACTACACTCAAAAAAATATTTAACCCCAAAAGTTAAAACTTATGTAATTCAATTAGATGTCAATTTTCCATCTAATTTAATCGCACAAATCCAACGCAAAAGTTAACATTTATTTAAGCTTCACCCTTTCATGTTCAGTTAATGTGAATGAATTAAATACATTTTATGAAAACTGATGAACTGTGATTTAAGCTTCTATAATACATAAACTTTACTCATTTCCAATAACTTATTGTTACTTGCTTTATATAATCACCTTACATTTTCTTAATTCTGTTAAATAAATGGCCAAAACATGTTACATTTTCAAACATTTATTGTGTTGTAATTGCTCCATGAGTCGAAAGTAACATCCAATCTGACCAAAAAAAAAAAAGCATGAAAGCAAGACACTGTAATGCAGTACTTAACAAATAAAGGCAACTGTTTTCTGCAACTGTTTCATGAATCCTTCTAAATTGAATCTTCCAGTGGTTATTTTTAGTTTTGTGTGCCCACAAGTAACAGGGATCAACAAGGAACCATACTTTTAACATCAAACATTAATTTCACATTTTCAAGGTAACACTGTCATATTATTGCATAGTACGGTAAACAATGTGCTTTCTCCTGATCTATAACACAAAACACAAATGTAAACGGTCCCTTCTCTTCCTAAATATTTGTTAAAATTAAACAACCAGGACCCTTAGAGAAAAATACAATAAAATAAATAAATTAAAATAAATGGGAAAAAAGAAAAGCAAATATTTTACTTCACATATATCAAGTTTTCAACACTTTTTTTAATACATATAACAGGTTTTCACATTTCAGCATTTAGGCCATTAAAACGTGTCCAACTCACTGCAGAGGGGTATGCTGCATACTAAAAGATCTCCTCAGCCATGCCTTCAAGAATGTCAGACCTTTGTTTGGGTGGTGGAATAAGTAGCATTCCACTTTTGTTGAACTCTGTTTTAGCTCTCTGAAACTGAATTTAAGCAGAACATGAAAAACGAGAAACTACTACAACGAGGCCAAGAACTGGAGACGTAACCCAAGACACCCTCAACGCTACTGGAAAACGAGTCATCTGAAAAGTTGACTTCCTGGACTCAATAGCAATATAAGTAACATCTCCTGTATCAAAAGTTTCAGAGCTACAGGAAGCAGGAAAGTGCAGTCTCTTGCATGCTGGAGTTAGTGTCATCAGTTTGTAGAAATATTTTTTTCAGGGCATTCTTGTCTAAAAGTTTTCAATGTCCCTCCAGTTGTTGGAAACATGTAGGCAAACAGTGAATGTCCTATTCACTGAAACATTTACATTTGAAGTGCTTGAACCTTTGGGGAAAGCTTGCTGCCATCTAAATTCATCAGTACCTTCTGGAAGAATTCAAATGTGAACTTGAGACTTTGAGGGTAGCTTAAGTTGAGAGCGTAGATCAGTCCGAAGAGCATTACTAATCCAAAGGAAATACTCTTTAAGTGTTGTAGCAGCTTTACACCCTCTATCACAACTCCAACATCACCCGGCTCATCCTCAGCACCAGCACCTTCTTTGCGAATCACAAAAAGCCCCAGAGTGGTCTCAGAAATTCCTCTTTCTGCTTCTTCAGGGTTGCAGTCCTAAGGCCAAAATAAGTAAATAAATATTAAATAATTTAATAATAATAAATAAATAAATAATTAACACATTTTCAGTTTCACTGAAATATTGGCAACATACAGGCTGGCAATGTATGTTAGGTCCTTAAAAAAAGGGCATACTTATACAAACCTGGAATTCTTTGATGACTGTTGTCATGTCCTCATTGAGGTACACACACAGACTCTTAACATTAACACTTTTACAAAGTAATTAAACAAGTAAAGTTTAGTTATATATTTATAACAAAAACAACAACAACACTTACTGTAATTGAGTGATTGCCCCAAACTGGAGACAATGTGGAATGATGTCACAATGATGAGGTCTCTGAAACAGTAAAGGTGACATATAATTTGAGTTTTGCAATGACAACTCTGCATTAAAAGAATGCATGATCAACTTAATGTACACAATTTGTTTTAAATGGAAATCCTATAAACTTTTACATGTACCTTTCATATACTCACATAACTAAATGTCAAAAAAGAGAGAAAAGATCAATACTTTTACAAAGAAATTAAACGAGTACAGTTTAGTTATATTACAAAAAAATATATATACATACCGTAAGTCGGTGATTGACTTTAATCAGATTCAATGTGGATTGATGTCACAACAATGTCTCTGGAATATTAAAAACGACATATGATTTGATTTTTGTAATGAAAGTACAACTCAGCATGAAAAGAATGCATGTTCCACTTCATGGACACGATTTGTTTTAACAGGACATCCTACAAACTTTTACATGCAACTTTCATATAATGTCGAGCATGTTTGAACAACGCTTCAGCATAGTTGCAAAGCATATTTATAGAAAAGCAAAATGTAACGTTACGTCGAGATGGCTAATCTATTATTTAAAAAAAATAATAATAATAGACGGGTAATCTGCCTAAAAAGATGCACATAGTCGACCATATATATCTTAAAATGATCCAAGTTGCATATATTTGATAACAGATTTGATTTTACGCGAGATCCTAATGTTTAATGTATGTCGAGATGACACCGTTTAAAAAAAAATCATGCGTGATCTGCTTAAATACAAAAATGATGAACATACTCGAATAGTAAGATAGTAACGTTACATTTTAAAATGATCAAGATAACGTTAGCAGGGAAGGCCGAAAATATCTAACGTTAGTTAATTCGCCAAAAAGTGCAGTTAGGGCAGTTAAGGTAAATCAAGATCGATCAAATAATAAAAATAGTTTATGTTTAAGTCTACATCAATTATAAATGAAGAAAATATCTTACCTTGTATAATCTCCTCATCTGTTCTTCCTTAATCTTCCTTGCTACCGTACCGTTGAGTAGTGATGTCCGGTTCGCGAACGAATCGTTCGATTTAACCGGTTCTTCTTAGTGAACCGGTTGAACCAGTTCACCAAATCGGACTGAATCCAGAGTGGTCTCAGAAATTCCTCTTTCTGCTTCTTCAGGGTTGCAGTCCTAAGGCCAAAATAAGTAAATAAATATTAAATAATTTAATAATAATAAATAAATAAAAAATTAACACATTTTCAGTTTCACTGAAATATTGGCAACATACAGGCTGGCACTGTATGTTAGGTCCTTAAAAAAAGGGCATACTTATACAAACCTGGAATTCTTTGATGACTGTTGTCATGTCCTCATTGAGGTACACACACAGACTCTTAACATTAACACTTTTACAAAGTAATTAAACAAGTAAAGTTTAGTTATATATTTATAACAAAAACAACAACAACACTTACTGTAATTGAGTGATTGCCCCAAACTGGAGACAATGTGGATTGATGTCACAACAATGTCTCTGGAATATTAAAAACGACATATGATTTGATTTTTGTAATGAAAGTACAACTCAGCATGAAAAGAATGCATGTTCCACTTCATGGACACGATTTGTTTTAACAGGACATCCTACAAACTTTTACATGCAACTTTCATATAATGTCGAGCATGTTTGAACAACGCTTCAGCATAGTTGCAAAGCATATTTATAGAAAAGCAAAATGTAACGTTACGTCGAGATGGCTAATCTATTATTAAAAAAAAAAAAAAGTAATAAAACGCGTAATCTGCCTAAAAAGATGCACATATTCGACCATATATATCTTAAAATGATCCAAGTTGCATATATTTGATAACAGATTTGATTTTACGCGCGATCCAACGTTTAACGTATGTCGAGATGACACTGTTTAAAAAAAAATCATGCGTGATCTGCTTAAATACAAAAATGATGAACATACTCGAATAGTAAGATAGTAACGTTACATTTTAAAATGATCAAGATAACGTTAGCAGGGAAGGCCGAAAATATCTAACGTTAGTTAATTCGCCAAAAAAAGTGCAGTTAGGGCAGTTAAGGTAAATCAAGATCGATCAAATAATAAAAATAGTTTATGTTTAAGTCTACATCAATAATAAATGAAGAAAATATCTTACCTTGTATAATCTCATCTGTTCTTCCTTAATCTTCCTTGCTACCGTTGAGTCACCGTCGTCGCGCCCTAGTCGATTTGCCGCCTTCAGTTAAAAAAAAAAAAAATTCTAATATGCGCATGCGCAACATCTGCATTCGCGCTTTACTGCAACAAAGTAGGTATAGTTTATGTAATTTGATCAGGTTGGTTTCGGATTCATTACGTTCATGTTGAGAAAGCGTAATTCGGAATAATAATAATTATTTTATACTTTTTTAAATATACTTTATTTAAATTGTTTGCTTCATTTCAATTACTGGCAAGAATCATTTTTTTGAGTGTACTATTACACTGAATTTAATAGTATTTTATTCAATCCGTAGAGCAACACATTCCACAGATCAGGGAGATTCCACACTGAGTCAGCAGGAGGTCATAAAACTAATCATTTTGGAGTAGACGTCACAGTTACGTCACTTGCAGCTGCGCGCGCATTGTGGTAGCAGAAAAACACTGGGAACAAGTGGAGGGAAACAAGTAAAATCCATAAGAGAAAAAAAATTATTGTTGTGCCTTTGGATGTCAGAATTGGAACGCAAATCATTTTTATATAATACTGTCGTCAAAGACGCCATTTTAAGCTAAACGCAGATATTTAAACGGACAAACTATGTATGAAACCTGCTATGATTACCCTACTTTTAAAGCTTAAATTTGATTGAAACAATAGGTCTATATAATATTCACATTGGGGACATGTATTAGCCCTACAGTTAAAGCATGAAATACTATTTAAACCTATAACATTTTACATAACACTTACCTATTTTATCTCACAATTCAGACTTTTTTTTCTTGCAATTGTAAGTTTATATCTCCTAGTTCGGACTTTATAACTTGATTCAGCTCAACAATTGAGAGTTTGCCAATTCTGAGGGAAAAAAGCCAGAAGTGTGGGATTATAAACTCATGATTCTGAGCCGAGTGAAAAAGAGAGAATGACGAGTTGATTTGTCTTACCAGAATTGTTAGATATAATCTCAGAATTGCAAGAAAAAAGTCAAAATTTTGAAATATAAACTCAAAATGACCTTTTTTATTCTTTTATTCCATGGCTTCCATAGACTGCTACGTTAAAACTGTCATTTTCTGCCACCATATAGGCTCCACCCACAAAAAAACGTCATCACTGTTTACCCCCACACACGGGGTAAAAGGCACACGTTATTGATACAAATACTTCAGCTAAAATAATGTTTGTTTTAAATAATGTCTAAGTTAATACTTGTTCAAAACAATCACTTTAGCAAAGTTTGTACTGTTTTCTGCTTATTTTGAAAAATAAAAGAATATTTTTTTTTCAATAAATATACTGTCATTAAAACATGTTAATATAAAGAATATATTTTAAAATACAGAAATACTCCATACACCATAATGGTAGATCAAAAAACAGGTTTTTAAAATCTTCGCAAATTGATTAAAAATAAAACACTTAAATGATTACATTGCGTAAGTATTCATACCCTTATCTGGGACAGTTGAAATTTAGCTCAGGAGCATTCATATTGCTTGTAGATGTTACTACACTTAGAGTGACGCTAACCTGTGGCAAATTCAATTGAATGGGTATGATTTGGAAAGGCACATACATCTTAATAAAAGGTCTAACAGCTAAAAATGCATATTAGAGCAAAGACCAAGCCCTGAGGTAAAAAAAAACTGTATGTAGAGCTCAGAGACAGGATTGCATCAAACCACACATCTGGGGAAGAGTTCTGAAAAAATTGTGCTGCATTGAAGGTTCACAGAAGCATGTAGCCTCCATTATCCATAATGGAAGACGTTTGAAACAACCAGGACTCATCCCAGAGCTGGCCTCCTGGCCAAACTGAGCAACTGATGGAGAAGGGCTTTGGTTAGAGTGGTGAACAAGAAGCTGATGGTCATTCTAGTTGAGCTCCATGATCATATATGC